ACTTTATTACAATAAAAGAAAAGCTTATTTGCACCTACAGTAAAAAGAGACTGTAGTAGAGCTTATGAAAATCTAAATCTGCCTTCCAAGTGGTCACTACAACTCGCCCCATAGAGGCTGAACATCAGAGGAGCTGTGAAAGATGAGGAGATATATGGACGTTGGTGAAATACGTGCACCAGACACAGACCACGATTGACAGACTGCTTCTAGGCTGTACCCATACATCTTACACTAGGAAAATATTACACCTCTCAATTACACTAATGCTGGTCTAACAACCATTTAGTTTGATATTGTCTATCTACAATGTATTCAGACCAAGACCACAAAACAAAGATAAAATCTACTTTATCACAAACATATTAAACATGTTCGATATGTCCGATATGGCCAACGCTCGTTCTGCGTATGATGTCACCAAAGATGGAAGCGGGCATCCGCCGTGCGTTCTGAAAACAAATTTATGTATGCCCGAATATAGTTTTTGTATATTCGGACATATGATAAATACTTTATTTCAGATTCGGATGAACCGCTGAATCAACTGAATTTCGTTGATTTGCAGATTCGTCCGAACCCGAATGCACATGTCTAGATTTTATGCAGTGATCCGACTCTCCCGTCATAACTTATGCAGTGGTCTGACTCTCCCATCATAACTACAGGATCTTGGTGAAAAATGAATTTAAATCTTGATGGAAATAAATGTTGTGACATTGTATAAGCTTATTGAAATCATGCCACGGCGAATGCGGGCCGTAATCAAGGCTAAAAGCGGTCCAATGAAATATTAGAGTGTTTGACTTTTTTCTTGGACAGGTGTTGTATATTGCTGTGCTGATACCTTTGGGGACTCTGAAGAAGGAATTATTTCCCATAAATGTATATATATATATATATATATATATAGCTAAATAGATTTTAAATAAGATACAGGTTGCACACAGACCTGCCTGCCATAGTTTGATGTTGGTGAGATCATGTGATCAGTTTATAATGATCTAATGCTTGTGTGTATGGCTGATTATGTAGGTACAGTCAAATGCCCACCAGGCAAGCTCTGAGAATCACACAGAAGAACCTACAAGAATCTTCTATGCCAAGGCAAGTGGGAAGGAACAGGGAGCCAGAGATGACTCTGGTGTATAAGATGGGGAAACAATAGCAGCTAGGACACATTTTCTAACCTCCCTGATGGACTGTCCCACCACTGGCACCAGGTGACTGATAGATATGAAATTTCCATCCAATCCAGACAAAAATGGCTATTTACTTATGAATATGGATCATGGAAGATATATCCTGTACTTACAGGTAAAGAGGAGCATCTGACTCAATACTGTCACATGAGAATCCCATAGTCCTGTGCAAGCTACCACTCCAGCAACTCATTATTTACACAGGACTATCGTTCACTCCAAGCAGATGAATGGAATGGCTGGGGAAGGATAAGTCAGTATATATTGTTGGGGGGGATTTTCAGAAGGATTTTCCAGGCCGATAGGTATTGTTCCCCAAGATATGACTAGTGTCAGGGATTCTGCTCAAACAGGGTCGTCCCTATGAGGCAGCCTGAGGCTGTTGCCTTCCGTGGCATCTCTTTAGGTGACCTCAGGGGGACGGCAGGCAGAGTGGCATGGCTGCTCTGCTGCACAATGTTTGAAGTGTATCTGCTGCCCCTTTTCGTGTCAGAGCGTCCCAGGTTGCTAAGACCCGGGCCGGGAAATGTGTAAGGGCCATGCACATCTCCCTGCCCAGCTCTTAGCAAACTGGGACCCTCTGGCCAGCATCCTGCCCAGCTTCTGGCAATCAGTGATGTCACTGGTTGCCAGGGCAGGATGCCGTCTAGAGCTTTCTAGGTTGCCAGGACCCTGGAGGGGAGATGCAGAGCCTGCAGAGGGCGCCCCCCCAACAGCTCGGGTGCTAAAAAGTCTAGGGACACCCCTGTGCTCAAGGCACATTCATTCATGTGAACCAATTGTGCATTTATGTCACATTCATTGTACAGAGTGATTGTACTGTGATCAAACCTTCCAATCTTTGCCTCATGTCTACAGGTAATGGCAATTAACAGAAATGGTCTGTACATTAGAGTTAGGGCTCATGCTTACGTGTGTAATAAAATACTGATATCTGTGCAGGATCTTGTTATCAAAAAGATCCTGCGTAAAAAATGCGTGTAATGACCGCGAAATGTTTTGCGTGCACGTCCATGAAATGTTTACATCCGTAAAATTCTTCTTCCATTCCTCTAGCTCAGTTTTCATTCTTAGCATGTACATAAATTATGCAGATATGTATACTTGTCACCGACGCAGAGTCTTCTACTTTTATAGCAAAACGCAGCACAAGATTACCGAGTACAATGCAGCTGTGTGTATGGGCACAAAATACAATAGCTCGGGGACTGATATATAATGCATTTGCTCAATGCAGGGGTGGCCAATCTGCATCATGCATCTGTTTCTGGGAGTCGTGCCTGTGGCGGTGGGAATCTTGCAATGCCTCATGGGATTTGTGTGCCCACCCCTGGAAATTCCTATGCTCCTTGGCTCCATCTAGTGGCAGTAATGTGCTGTGAACATTGCTCACCCAGCTATACAGTAGGCCAATGCTTTATAAATCAGCCCCTTGGTACTAGGCCGCATGCACACCGCCATATAAACATATGACAACTAGTATTAAGGATCTTGGTGGAAGAAGCTGGGAGTGAGATCCTGAGTAAAAAGTTCTCTGTGCACATGTAAGGCCCCGTTCACATTGCGCGGTTCGCAAATCGCGCGTTTGTCGCGCGATTTGCATTTTGCGCGATATCGCGCAAATGCTTGCATTGAGCAAGCTTGAATCGTGGCTAAATCCGCTACAAAAAGGGTCCTGCTGTAGCGACGCACGACCCGCGACAGCAGGACCATTTGCCCCATTGAGAAGCATTGGAGAGCGATATCGCGCGGTAAATTGCAGCGATATTGCGGGAATTACCGCGCGATAAATCGCTCAATGTGAACGGGGCCTAACATAACGCTTGTCCGGCATTTGCATACACCCAGTGCAGAGTGCAAAGGTGTCCTATTGGTTGCTAGGAGCTAGGTGGCTTGAACTGCCAGTATCCTAGCAACAAAGGACCCAAGTGATAAGGAGCCTCAGACACAGATTTTGATTTTACAGATCTAAGCTGAGAGCGACTTTACTGTTCTTCCCGCATTGGCCAATAAAAACAATTCACCTGTGTTCACATCTGTAATAAAAACCCCAAACAAATGTACTAATAAAAGTGCTGCCATGTGTACGAGTCCTTATAATATCACTGCGCTCAGATACGTAAAAAACTTTATGATGCTCGGATCTAAATGCAGCATTTTTTACACCCATGTGCACGAGCTCCTACAATTCAATACTGACGCGTTCAGATCCGCAGAAACCATATGATGTACGGATGTCACGATCATATGTATGAGCCCCTACAATTCAATACTGACGCGTTCAGATCCGTAGAAACCATATGATGTACGGATGTCACGATCATATGTATGAGCCCCTACAATTCAATACTGACGCGTTCAGATCCGTAGAAACCATATGATGTACGGATGTCACGATCATATGTATGAGCCCCTACAATTCAATACTGACGCGTTCAGATCCGTAAAAACCATATGATAAACAGATGTCACTGATCATGTGTATGAGCCCCTACAATACAATACTGATGCGTTCAGATCCGTAAAAACCATATGATGTACGGATGTCACCGATCATGTGTATGAGCCCCTACAATACTGACACGTTCAGATCCGTAAAAACGATATGATGTATGGATGTCACCGATCATGTGTATGAGCCCCTACAATACAGACGCGTTCAGATCCTTAAAAAACCATATGATGTACGGATGTCACAGATCATGTGTATGAGCCGCTACAATTCAATACTGACGCGTTCAGATCCGTTAAAACGATATGATGTACGGATGTCACCAATCATGTGTATGAGCCCCTACAATACAATACTGACGCGTTCAGATCCGTAAAAACTATATGATGTACGGATGTCACCGATCATGTGTATGAGCCCCTACACTACTGACGCGTTCATATATGATGTACGGAGGTGACCGATCATGTGTATGAGCCTCTACAATACAATACTAACACGTTCATACATGATGTACACAGCCCCTATGTGAATGTATACCGGTATGTTACCGGCAGAGCTCGTATTTTGCTGGAGGTGTATTGATCCCCAGTCCCTCGGATCGCAGGACTCGGTGCCATGTGTATCACTAGCTGCAAGGCATGAAAACCTCCGGCGATTCGGCCTCCATTCATCCAGCCATGCTGTCACAGTGCTGTCACACATCCCATGCCTCGCAGCTCCAGACCGTGGCAGTCTCACACCTCCTTCTACTGGGGGAGAGCGCTTCACCCTGCCCCCTGGACTCATTTGCATAAGAAGCCGGGCTCAGCCAATGAGAGCGTCTAGTGGGGAGAGGGTCTGGGCAGAGGCATTGATGGGATAATGTTACCTCTCCCCCGGAATCTCCTCCTCTCTCCGCTCTGGCTCAGGCACACAGGCTGCCAGCGAGACAGCCGGGAATACCGGGAGAGACTGCATGAGACACAGCGAGAACTCCGGGAGACTGCAGGAGACACAGCGAGAACTCCCGGAGACTGCAGGAGACACATCGAGAACTCCAGGGCTACTGCGCAAACACACTGCCTGGCAAAGGCAGCCTGCTGTAGCCGGGGATCGCAGGGGGCTGTCTGGGTATAGCTGGCAGACACCGCAGTTCTCATTGGCACCGGGGTACCGGGGGAATCTCAGCAGCTAACATGACTCTAAGCACTATGAGGATCCACTGAACGATCTCTAGACAAAGAGACAACCGGAGAGACACAGACTGTCCTATATAGAACCTCGGAATATACCGGAGATCTGTCACAGCCGGGAGATGCTTACAATAAAGTAAGAGGGAGCAGGACGAGGCTGTTGGGTCCGGGTCACTGGCTGATCACCGGCACAGGACTACTGGATTACAAGCAGATCGCTAAAGAACAGCTGGATTCGAAGGGGATCCCAGACAACGGGAACAATGAACTATTTGGTGAGTGGTGATGTGTGTACCCCTCTTGTCTAAGGGGAGGTCGCGCCCCCCCCCCCCCCCCCCCCGTCGGAGTGGGGGGGGGGGGGGGGGGGCTGGGGTAAGTGTAGAACAAGGCAAGGGGGACTATAGAAATGGGACCCTGGGCAGAGATGGTCACCTATGGAATAGATCAGGTTAGACACAAAGTGAAGGTATTGATGATAGGTAAGGAGAGATGGACTGTCTAATACAGCTGAGAGTGTTCCTGAAACTCCAGAGAGAGCATCAGAGCTGACTGCTGGGGAAGAGACAGCCCTTAGTATATAAAGAGTAGACCTGGAGAAGAGACAGCTCTTAGTATATAAAAAGTAGGGCTGGAGGCAATAGACATACCTTGGTATATGAAGAGTAGAGCTGGGGAAGAGACAGCCCGTAGTATATGAAGAGTAGAGCTGGAGAAGAGACAGCCCTTAGTAAATGAAGAGTAGAGCTGGAGAAGAGACAGCCCTTAGTAAATGAAGAATAGAGCTGGGGAAGAGACAGCCCTTAGTAAATGAAGAGTAGAGTCCCAGACTACACTAACAGAGAGGCATCATTTTGGGAAGCTACACAAAGGCCTGTAATAAAAAAAAGTGAGTGTGAGAAAGGAATTTGGAGATTCTGCAAGATTGCCAGGCGACCGTGCATAAGAAAGAGCCAAGAAATACTTGGACGGTAGTGACTAATACAGCACACAGACAGGAAGGAAGCCAGAGACAGCAATGTGCGGAAAGGAATAGGAGCAAGTAGTGGGATCAAATAATACTATATAATACAGAATATATAGATTATATCGAATATCTGATATCAGAGAACTGACCCATCCATCAATCTGGTTCAGTAAGGAAATGAACAAAGTACAGTCACCACTATCAGCCAATCGGAGTTCATCAATTCTTTGATCAGTGAACCAAAATGTTTGGTTGCCATTGGTTACTGCACTTTTTTACCATATATTTGATCTGCATTTTTAATCAGGGCTGACAGTGTGTAAATCTAAAGTAGCATGCATCAGCTTGTTAAACCGAGAAGACATATAATACTCTGTGTGCCGTCTATGATGTTCCTACCGAGCACAGCTGGGAATGCACTTCTGCCCCGTGTCTTTTTTGGGCCTTCTGACTTGCTGTACTGAAAAGCTACATAACTTTCCAGGATTCGCTGTAGCTTACAATAGACTAGCATTCCTGAGACCCTATTTAAGATCTGATGGTCCAAACATGAGAAGTTCACCTTGGAATAGTAGGGGAACTTATTTGTAGAATAGAAGGAATCTTAGGAATGTTGATCAGCTGTTTCCAAAAAACAGACAGTCTTTCCAGGGTTAACAATGACTGGGGTTGACCACACACTAGGTGAACTTTCGTCCTATATTTGAAGTAATAACATTTTTGTGACACGGGTTGCTATAATATTATCACAAAAGAAACTTTGTTTTGTGTTCACAAAATAATTTCTTGTATGTGGTCGGCATAGTTACTAGGTCCATACAAACTCAAGTGCTCATCGTATGTGTCTTCACCAGACAGATTATCCTGCTCATGGGTCCAATGTGATAGGTAGAAAAGTCAGTGCTCTATGTCCAACAATGTTTGGCGGGAAAAGTTCTTTCCTAATGTGTAATCCCTAATGTAATGTGTAATGTGCGATATCCCAACAACATGGTGGGAATGGGCCCTTAAACGGGCCCTGGAGAACCAGTCACCAGTAGAAATCTGTAATAGTCTGAGTCTTCACTCTAACATTGTTATAGCAGTGCAGTTGTGCCCCGTGTGGATTACTTGATTATACGGTATACATTATTCACTGGTATTATTTACCCGTCACAGCAGACATGCTTACCTCCAAGACCAATTTTTGTCATGTCTGAGCTCAGTGCTGAAAGACTCACAAAACTGCCATATAATGAAGGTGCTGTCAGGATTAGAAAGAACTCTAATTAACTAGCAGGTTTACCTTCTTTCAGCAACCGCCTGCGACAGGTCAGCTTCCATTGAGGCCCCTACAGCATGTGTAGCCAAACTTCGCTCCCCCCTCCTGTTATTGTAAGTCCCATAAGGTATTGCGAGACCCTGACAGGCACAGATATGACTTCCAGAGGCAGATGCATGATTGGATTTGTAGTTTCACCACAGCTGGAGGGCTGAAGTTTGGCTGCCCCTGCCCTGAGCTTATATTTCTGCTTTGACAGGGAGAGAATACAAGTGCATAACCGCAGACACAACGCCATAAGGCTGCATTTTTATATTTTTATATTATTTAGATTTCCTACAAATGCTCATTTTTTTAGTATTTGTATAAATTCTATCAATTTACAAAGCCATAGGGTTGAAACTATATTTAGCAAAGGCTGAGGTTAATAAGTGGCAATATTCAGTACATACATTGGTTGTCGGAAACCCACATAAGTAGAATATTGTCTGACACAGGATTTATTTACTACTTCAGGCCCAAAACTTTCTGGAAGGCAGTTTATTTATCGTACAAATGATGCATTCAAAACAAAGGAGACACTTTTACGGATATAGGGAGCTGACTTACTGACATTAGTCTTCAGAGGTGAACTGGATTGGACTGAAGTAGAAGTGTTTAGGAAAGTATGAGAAGTGACATCAGCTACGTATTTGTGACTCTACAATTGTGCTTCTTTTCTACAATCTATACTAGACGTGATGTTTAATCAATGCTTGGTGGTCCTTGTCATTTCAAAATATCAGCTTATGATGGTACCATGCTAATGTAGCATTAAACCACACCTGGGCATTTTATGGCCTGCAGGCCGTATCCTGTCCCTGGTCTGCAGCGGTCTGGCCCGCTGATCTGCCTTTTCGTTATGGCAGGCTGACAGTGGGTGCACCAGCCTCCAAGGCAAGCCATAGCCCAGCGCAAATTGGCGATCAGTCTGTGTTTTGACTGCGTTTCTCTTTGGTTCTTGGTTGCTAGGACTGCTGGCATCCTAGCAACCAATGATGTCAGAAGCCCAGCACTGAGCTGCAGGAAAGGGGATCGAGGAGGGCCCCTGGCATCATTGGTTGCTAGGACTGCCCATTGATCTTAGCAACCAATGATGTTGGGGTCCTCCTCTGCAGTCATTGTTTAAGAGGACTGCTGGGCAGTCCTAGCAACCAATGATGTCAGGGGTCCTCCTCTGTCTCCTTTCCTGCAGCTCGGTGCTTGGCTTCAATGCTAGGTGGATCCTGAAGGGCTCACCAGTAAACCATTGGGCTATGTATAGTGTCTTCCTATGATTCTGTATTATTGCTAATTAGTTTTGGATCGAGTGGGGAAGGATTAGTAACCCTGACTAATGTTTATTGCTGTCTGTGTCCTGTTGAAGAGGTTTATCCTGGTGACTATTTATACCCAAGACTGGGAATACTGGGAAAACCCTACATTTTGAGTTGTCAGTGGAACAGGAATAGAGTGTAAGTCTTCCATTGGGGACACTTGTTGCAGTGACATCTAGGAAAGAATTTCCCCTCACTTTTCCTTTTGTGTCTACATTACAGGTAGTCACAATGCAGGCGAGTCCTACCGCAATCCTTACTGGTATGTCCCCTGCGGTGGGTGCTGTAGTGACTGTCACCGGTGGTGACATACTTTACTACTTGTACATTACAGGAAGTGACATGAAATCTCCCAAAAGAGACACAAAGAAGTTATTCTTAGATGTGCCTTAATGGTCCTTATGGGCACCAACTCCACTTTTCTCTGCTACAGTTTTCACGAATCGCTCCAAGTTGTAGAAGGGTGAAATGTCATGTGTTCATTTTAAGACTAAAATAGTCGGCGGCAGTGTTTTCTCAATATCCCAAATCTACATAGCAGAGCCGGATTGAAACTAAAAATGAGTCAATTTCCTTTTGGCACCAGCTCAAATCTCTGTAAATAATTGGCTCAGATCATGGTATTATAAAATAGCCGGCATAGCTTAACCTCTTGCAGTGAGTGGGCCCCTCTGCTGATTACTGTATAGAAGACGGAGAGCATTAATCATTTACCAGCAGATAACGAGCTGTACAGCCAACAGGATCCAGGGTGGATGGAAGGGTCCAGTTATAGACAGCCATATGAAATGTTTCACAACACTTATATAGCCAACAGATTATATTGGTGGGCAATTGCTCACATAGCATGCACATTTATAGGCTGAGGTCATTGGCTGTTTATTGGTAATGTGTATAAAATAATGAAAGCCTGGAATTTCCTTTCCTAGCGGAAATATTTGTCACCAAAAGTTCCCCTCCTCAGTCACTTGCGTTGGAAGTCATATTTATATGGACTGCCGCTAATGAGCTTTTATCATTACTGGGTCATTCTGCTCTGATGGCCATATTGTTCTGATGTTTAAAGTGGAACTACAACCCCCTATCCCTTACAGCCAAGGAAGGTGCCATGTTAGCCTCTATTTGGATTGCAGTTGCCATGGTGCTGCACATCTCTATAGGTTGAACTCGATGGACTTGTGTCTTTTTTCAACCTGACTAACTATGTGACTATGTAACATGTGATCAGCTATGACCCCAGCCATTTGAGGGCTTGAAAGTTTGGTTGAGAGCTGAAATAAGCTCACTGGCAACCTTGACTATAAAAGTAATTGCTATGAGATCATTAAATTGGTGGGTGAAGTTCCTCTTTAAGTACGGCCTAACAAAGTTGACACGCAAAGGGTGATTTGCAAGCAATAACCAAAGCACACCAGCACAGGAAGTGACCATTGTTGCTTGGAGATTATTCTCAGCATGCTGGAAATATATATCAGTGACTGTTTTAAAATGTTTTTGTCCTATATCAGTTATCATTGAGACAGGAAGTGATGGGTAATCCAACATTTTGAAGTTGGCTGCATAACAGGAGGGGAGAGAAAATTTTCCAATAGGGGCAGCTGTTCTGGTTACAACTGTGTAAGAGATTTCCCCCCCTATCCATCACAGCCAAGGAAGGCGCCAGGGGCGCCTCGAGGCTCCAGGTGACACCCTACC